AACAAAAACATAAAAAAAAAAAGAAGTAAAAAAATTGATTTTTAGTCTCCAATAAGCAGTATATATATATATATATATATATATATATATATATATATATATATATATATATATATATATATATATATATATATATATATATATGTATATGTATATGTATATGTATATGTATATGTATATGTATATGTATATATATATATATATATATATATATATATATATATATATATATATATATATATATATATATATATATATATATATATATATATATATATACATATATATATATATATATTTTGTTACTAAATCCAATTAAATTCCTTAACTTTTTAAAATATTTTAGAATTTTCCTGACTTTTCCAGGTTGCTGGCCACCCTGTATATATGCAATTGTTTACTGGGAAGGTACTACTAAGATAAAATATACTAAGAAAAAAACAATCAATTAATAAAAAAACAATCAATTAATACAAGGGTTTTTAAGATAAACATCAACTTTACCAAAAGTTTCACCTATTTCAAAAATTTGACTTTTATTACGTTTAACCTTTGAAAAGAGCATTGTCTTCAAGTTCTTAAGAAAAAAAGCACATATTTATATACTTTAAATGCAATTGACAAAGGGCTTTAATTGTAAAATGAATTAAATAAATTTAAAAGTTACTTTACTGATTTAAAAAAAGGTTTATCTATTAATTTAATTATTTAAAAAGGTTTATCTGTTAATACAGAATTTATGATTGCATCAATTTATTATCTAATATAATGGTTTTAGATTTTAACTGATTATAATAAAGATTTAAGAATACCTTATCACGTGGCCAAAAATATAAAGAAAAATATTATAAGGCCAAACGTGATCATCTATAAAAAACTCTGTGTCAAACACAGAGTTTATACAATATATGTACAGGCCTCGATAGGAAGCGAGAATTTTTGCTCTCGCTTCCCGCCGAGGTCACACTCCCCTATTCGTTTTGCTTTATTTTATGGTGTGCCAATTGTGGCTTTGAGAGGGTTTCTTCTTATAGATAAATAACAAGTAGATCCATCAATCAAATATTCTGAAGCCATTTTACTTTTTATGATTCCAGAAGCAACCTAAGTATAATTTACACAAAAATATAATTTTAATAGTTATTTGTGTATCACAAAAAATAACTATTAAAAGTTTTTTACTTGCTCAGCATAAAGAGAACCTAGTAGGAATGCTAATGAAATAATATTAGTCACTGTACTGGTGGGTTTACAGTTATGAGGATAACCAGGTACAAGATATGTATAGCAAGAAGAGCATAAACTGGATTCACATTTCGGTAAATTGTCTCATCTTGAATAGGCGCTGGAAGAACTCCTCAAAAGAGTTTTCAACTCAACCTAGTTAAAGGAACTTTCATAAGTAAACAAAAGAGAGCAAGAATAGTAAAATTTTAGACTTAAATAAACTTTGGCTACTTTAGCTCCCCATTCACCATGAGGTGAATCTCCCCTTTTAAGTCTGTAAAGATTTCTTCTGCAAACAAACAACTGATGGATAGCTTCCATTGTTCCGTTGTTCTTGGAAAATAAAACAGCTGAGTTTGTTCCTCTAAGTTTTTATTTATATTTTTTAATGATTTAGATCTTTTGCCATACTTTTCCCAGCAACAACATCAAGTAGAATTTATAGTAATGTAAAAAATACTTTTCCCAGCAACAACAACATGTCATAGTAAAGTAAAAAATACTAATAATTAGATTAAATGAACCTTTCACAATTTAAACAAATATTCAATTTACCAAACTGAGCTATTTCATATCTAGAAAATATATTAGTTTAGTTAGAATAGGGGGTAAATTAGGTAAAAAAAACTTTCTAATAAATGCATTAAAATTATTCCAATTAAAAGTTATAACTTTATATTAATTTTTTATTAATATTTTTATTATTTAGTTATTTATGAAAATTTTTTTTAGTGACTTCCAGTGATAAATTTTTTTTTTTAATTCAATTTTTATTACATTTTTAGAATGTAGTAATATCTACAAATGATAGCAATGCATTTTGATTTCAGAAAAAAATATATTTTTGTAAACAATATGGATAGCACCTTTTTATAGTAAAGATTCGGTTTGAGGGTCACAACATAAAATGTGGTAGTCTCTGTGGTTCATGTTTTTTGCTTTCTTTTTCTGAAAACGCTGTATAAATTAATTTAACAAAACTAGGGTAACAATTTGTTATCTAAACACTATAGTAGATCTATCTGTTGACCAGCTTTGCACCCTTTCTTCAACTATTAGGTTGGCGTAGATGTATTTATAATACATTGTGAATGTTAAATGCTGTATCATTATGGATTTTGCTTTCTTCAACAATATTTTAAGGTAACATTCATTTGTTGCTAATATTTAAAATTTACTTGTAATTTTTTAATAACAATAAAGTCATTACAAAGTCTACAAGCATACAAAACATTCACATAAAAATCAAGTTTGACCTTTTTTTTTCAAAAATAATCTGAACTTTTATATATTTCTAAAAAGTAACACCACAAAATACATTAGTCTTAAAAAACGTGCCACATACTTTTGCACAAAACAAAACAACAAAGAAAACGTTTTTCGTAAAAGATTTTCTAACAAGTTTTATGGTTATGAGGCTGGCTTGTTGTCAGGTTTCTCAAACTCTGTGGTAACTCTCAGAGAAGCTGATTCCATCAACAGCTGTAAAGTATTAGAGTATCAACAGTGCCATGTTGCGCATGGATGGTATCCTTGTTCCTATTTCTGGTTTGCATTGTTGAGGCCTCATTTGGAGCCCTTTGTTATGGCTTAGGGTTTATTATAGTAATGAGGCAATTGTTTGGACTATTAAGTGCACTGAGGACTAGTTGTGCTTTGAATCAAGTTTTTTAATAAATCCAAAAATGATTAAAGTACAAAAAACTATAAAAGTTCTTTAAATCAATCATTTACTAATATTTGTGGCCTTTAAAGAAGCCTTTAAAGAAATATTTTTTCTGTTGAGTCTTATCTCTTGCAAAGTTCACCATACCTACTTACTCTTTGTAAGACTAATTTGAGTTCAGGTGTCTCATCTTGTGATCTTAGTGTAGATGGTTATCTTCCTTTAAATTCATAAAGACTCCAATATTCACATGCTTGGCCTGGGCATTTACATTTGTAAGAATTCACCCATTTGTCAGGAAACTAGGTTTGAATCCACAGACTATTCTTTTACACACTTTCGTTTAGCTTTAGTTTATGAACATCTTTTAGAAGATGTTTTAATCAAGTTTAGTGAAGGTTTACATACTGAGAGTTGGATATTTCAACAAGGTAATGCAATGATTCACATAGCACAAAATGTACAACAGTGGTTCCAGGAAAAAAATATACATGTTTTGGATTGGCTATCATGTTCAACCAACTTAAACTCTATTGAAAATTTATGAGGAACATTGGCACGAACTATATATGGAAATTCTCCACAGTATAAAAACCATACAAGAACTTAAAACTTCTATTTAACAAGCATGGAACAGTATTTCAAAGGTTTGTTGAAAATCTTATAAAAAGTATGGAAAACCAAATCTTCAAATTAATTAGTGTAAAAGGTGGTAGTACACATAAAAAATGAAAGTAACTAAAAAATTATTATTTAAAACAAAAATGTAAAATAGAAATCTAGAAACCATGGGTGTTGCTCTTTTTTATGGTTTACTCTATGGTATATTAGTGACCACGATTACACATGGTTAGTTTAACTGTTACACTGCTTATCATCATTTAAAGTTTTAGCTTTAAATGATGATAAGCAAATTAAATAGTTTGCAGAAGCACATTGACTTTCATTGGTTTTTTAGAAGAAAATAAAATGACAACTTTAATAATAATAATCTTATTTTATCTTTTATATTTTTTTATAAACAGAGTTTGTTAAAAGACACAGCATGTTTTTATACATCAACTGAGGGTTTTGCTTTGGGAAAGCTTTTTCAATTAGAAGAAAAGTTGTTCTCCATCTTGAATTAAGTTGTTCTCAATCTTGATTTAAATCTTGAGATACTTATGTTATTAATGTGCTCAGATAATTAGTCCTAATAAGTTGCTGACGGTCTGAAAAAAAAGTTGTCTGAAACTTAGTTAAAAAAAAAATTAATAAGACAGTCTTGTTATTCCAGAAAGTGCTGCTGTGGAGGCAAAAAAAGAAAAGCCTTTAGCTAGAAAAAACTTTAAAATTTTGTTTTAACAATTAGTCTTTTTTGCTATATTTATATTTTTGCTATAAATATATAGGACCAGATTGAAAAAATTGAAAATATATTGTGTTAAGGAGCAGGTTTGAACTCTTGAAAAATGACACAGATGACAGTGCATTAAACCACTGATCTATCAAATTTATGCATGTAATAGAAAAAGAAACTCTTATACTGTTTGCAATTAATCAACACTTTTCAAGTTTTCTAAATAAGTGCAGCTTTATTGCATAGCATCTAATATAACATAATACAACAATAAACAAGTATGTTTTATACAAATGTAAAAAATCCACTTATATAACGTTTTATACAGGATATAAAAAGGTTTTTCTAATAATTACAAGTCTGTTTTGCTTAAACTGTTTTGTTTTGAATTTTCGTATTTATGTTATTGTATTTTAAAAAATTGACGAAATAGAAATAATATGAAATATGTTGTCTCATCAAGTGGAAAATTTGAAACATCCAATTTTAGATTTATCATGACTCTCCCTTCTCTCGATAATTTTTGTTTGCTAAAATTATGTCATCTTCTTAGTTCCGCCATTTGTATAGAGTTAGATATGTCTATCACTGTATTTTTACAGGTATATTTTTATAGTTCTAGTCAGTTAGTATATATTGCTGATAAAGCATAGCTGAGAACATTTTACTGAAATAGTAAGAGTTTTGAATAGATCAATCACAATTCGCTTATAAAAGTTATTTAATACAGCAAAAAAATAATTCTGATTCAATTCTTACTTTAACTAGATGTAGATTTGGCTGGCCAAAGTAGTTTCATTCAATCAGAAACTTTGGTATCAGTGGAAAGTGTTTCATCTTCATTAACCAATCCTCCATCGAAGGAATCAGAATCATCTCGAAAAAGAAAAACTCCTAGTGAAAGCAATAAAAATATGTTATCAAAAAAAAAGACTCCATCCAATGAGGAGGCTACAGTAGAGGTAACACAAGTGCAATTATTAAAATTTTTCACATACAATTGCAACAAATAACAATTAAAATTAGACTTTAATGAAATTTAGTTTAAAACAATATGACTTATCATAAAGCAAATAATATTAATATCGTAAATTTTATTGTAATAGCATTGTAAATACTGAAAATTAGATGTTAACTAATATTGCAGAGTACCATATTGTTATAGTCAGAAAAACCAGTTTGTCAGTATGGTTCAAATTGCTATCGGAAAAACAAAGAACATTTTAAAGAGTTTAGTCATGGCTGCAGTAGTCATGGCAGCAGTAAAACCAAAGTTGAAGAACCTAGCACTACTAATAACAATAAAAAAGTATTTTTTATTTATTTACATTTTTTTATATTTTAAATAAATGACTTTTATTTTTTATGGTTGTTAGTTTTGTTTTAATGTTGTAGAAAAAATCATTAGTGTGAGGCCAGTTTATCAAAGCCATTTTTTTTCACATTACTGTAAAGTTTTTATTCAAGTTTTCCATTGAGTCTAAAAAAAAGGTTTAATAAATTTAATAAATTATAAAGATAAACGTTTATTTATTTAAATAAAAATTTTTTTTAATGTTTATTTTAACAAAAGCTAAATGAAACTCTCTCTATTCTATTTGAGTCCCGGGCTTTTTTTTTTTTTTTTTAAAGTTTAGCAGAAATATTGACTAATAAAGGTGTTTTTTCGCAAAAAAAAACTCTAAAATGAAAAGAGTCTACTTTCTTTGACTACACACCAGTTTTATTTGTTTGTTTATTTATTTGTTTAGTTTGTTTAATAATAAAATTTTAATAATATTTAATGAAAATGTGATATTCTTAGAACTTAGAAAATATATTCACTGGGTTGACCTTTGTCATTGCTGAAAATGTTAAAGAAAGCAAAAAGTTAAGGCGATTCATAGTGGCGTATCTTTTCCTTATATTTATGAGTTTTTTTTTTAATTTGAAAATGCTAAAAATTTATATTTAGTTATTTTTAATAAATCTTTTTATAGTTTTGATTTTTTTTTTTTTTTTTAATTTAAAATTTAATTTAAATTAATCTAAATAGTTTAAGTTAATCCAAAACAAATTTCAACTTTAAAAAATTAATGAAATGATAATTTATGGATAATTGTACCGTATCATGGTAGCTTTACTGTATTTGGGTAATTTTACTGTCGTATGGGTAATTGCACTGTAATATGGTAATTGTAACTTTATAGACACATGGACTTTGATATAATTTTTGCTTATTTTATATTAAATAAGTCAAACCATTTACTTACATATATATGGTAGGGTGGTCCTAAACATATATACTTACATATATATGCTAGGGTGGTCCTAAACAGTCAAATTTTGAAAACATAACGAGAAGTGCTCTACTTACTGTTAAAGACTTGTTACATTGTTGTTAAAAATCATCTATATGAAGCTGAGATATTATATTATGAATTCAAATCTATGCTGTTATTACAAAAATTAATTGGTTAATTAATACTTGACACTTAAAAAAAAAAAAGATATGATGGTGACATTGCAGAAGAACATGAAACAAATAGTGCTGATTATATTGTCTCAGAAGAAAAGGTAAGAAAAATCTGTTTTGAAATTGCATGCATCTTTATAATTGATAACATTGTAATTAATTTATACTTAAACCTTTATTGAAAAAACATGAGTAAGAAATATTTTAGGGGCCATCTATAACAGTGAGTAAACAGTGAATGATTCACAGTGTTATAATATAGAATATATTTTGAAATATAAAAAAGAGCAGGGGGTTTGATTTGTTACAAATTTTTTTATATTAAAATATATAAAAATTTCAAAAAGTTCAGAACATTTATTTGAAATAGAAATTGTTCTTGTTGTAGATAGATATATATATATATATATATATATATATATATATATATATATATATATATATATATATATATATATATATATATATATATATATTGACTTTTAAGTATTTTATGTTTTGTTTACATATTTTAATAAGTTAGCCTGAAGCTACCAATTTAAGTTAAGCAACTAGCTTCAATCAATGTAACTTGTTTCTATTTTTTTATACTTTCTCATTCCAAATGACATTTGAAAAATAATCAAAACAGCAGTAATTTCTGATAAAGAAAAGTTAAAAGACAATGACCTTAAAAGTTGTTACAAAAAAACTAAAAGTTTTTACTAAAAAAATTTAAATTTATTACTAAGAAACTTAACCCTTTTAGGTCTTTAAAAATTTTTTTTTTGCTTATTAGGTCCAAATTTTTTTTTTACTTTTTGACCTTAAATGTAAATAAAAAAATATTTTTGACCACAAAAAATAGACTATTAGTGTAGCACCAAATTGCTTAATTTTTGTTCTGCCAAAAACACTATGACCTAAGTGCACGCATTAAACAAGAAAAAAAAAATGTAAACACTTTTTTTTTATTCACAAATAAATTGCAATATTGTCTTTAGATACCCTATTTTACATCAGTCTTTGTATGATAAAGTTCAAAACAATCAGTAGGTGTAGTCCTGATTTTCTAGTGCAGTTTTACTAGATTTCTAGTGCTAGTTTTACAATAGTATATAGTTGTTCTACTACCACCCTGTGTTTTTGTGTCACTGCAGACTAGGGTGGCTCTTAAAACAACTTTTTTGAGAAAAACCTGCTCTGAATAATATATAACAGTTTACAACTGCAACTTCTAACAACCAGAAAAATGTTTTTCTCCAATATTTTAAAGATTTGTGTAGAAATGAATATCTAAAATAACAGTGATCAGCTCAGTCAACAGCATTATCAACATACATTTAATGAATAATTTACATTAAAAGTTGAATATTTTACATTAAACATGAATAATTTACATTAAAAGTTGGTTTATAAATGTCTACATTACCTTTTTTTGTTCTTTATTTTCCATGATTCAGTTGTTGAATCATGGAAAGTACTCAGCAGCAGAACCTATACTGCCATACCAAAACTATAACATTGAAAGAATTGCTAAACTTTCAGTAGTGCAATTATTATAATATGGTTCAAAGAAACTAATATAACCTGTTTTACTAAAAAAACACAAATATCCCATTTTGTGGGTTTTTGTGGATTGTACATGCGAAATTTAACTCTATCTTTGAATCCAATAGTATTTTCATCAGTTGCAATGTTACGAGATGGGACAAAATTTTTAAAACAGAAACTTTTTATTTGCGATACATCACAATGCACTTTTCTTGCATGTCTATTCAATTCATTACATGGATTTGATGGTGGGGATACGTGCAGCATATAATGTATCTGAAGAAACCAGGTTTTAGAGAAAACCGCTAGAAAAAATGGCATGTAGTTCAGCCAATCATGAGAAAAATAATGTTTTATACTTGATTTTTTATTCAGAGCCATATTTAAAATAGTACCAAGGTAAGCATGAAATTCAAGTGTTCATTTTCAATCTTTCTATTTATGCCAAATAGAATGAAATTCCAAATTATTATTTTCAATTTTTAACTTTTATAAAGCATTACAACTAGTTAACAATATTGCAAGTAACTCATTAGTAAAAAAATAACTTGAAGAAATCTAGTTCACTTGTTAGGTTTATTGAATACTGAGGGCCTATATTTGCTACTATGAATGGTAGTGCTTCAAATGTCTATCCTATGTTTAAAGCAGGTTCATTATCATCAATTTCATTTAGTTCAATTTCTTCCTGGCTCTGGTATCTCTGAGAAATATCTACTAAGAAACTAAAAGTTATTACTAAGAAATTAAAAGTTTTTAATAAAAATGACCGAAACAAATAGGAACTGTTACATACCCTGAAAGAATATCGCTTGTGAATAAGAATATTGCTTCTGCGATAAATATTTTAGGATATAGTGTTTCGATATAGTGTTTATTTTAGGATATAGTGTTTTGCAATAAATATTTTAGGATATAGTTGTTTGTGATATGTTTTTATAGTGTTTGTAAATCTTTGTAAAAGCTTTGTTGATCTTTTTTAACCATCTGGCATCGTAAGGAATGCTAATGCAAGTGGATGGATTAAAGAAAATTTTATTCATTATCTTCTACATTTTGTAACAATGCGAAATTCATTTTAAAAAAAAAAAGCCTTTATGCTGCTTGACTATCATTTCATTAATCAAGTCCTTAGATAAATCATTTTATAGTCTTCTCAAATGTTAATTCTGCTATGACCTTATGGCTGTTAATTATAGAAAATTTATGATAATATATGATATTGCGAAAATTATAAATAATTCCACAGGCTGTAACTCAGTAAAATATTTACCCATTAAATATTGATATACAAATTAACTAAAATCTGTCTTATAGAACTGATTACCCTAATCCATATTTTTTATGGTCAAATTCAAATAATGTGGTCTCCCTTATTTACTTCAAGCTATGTCTCCCTAATTCAATTCAATATTGACCTGTTAATCTGGAAAACTAAAGAGTAAAATAATTAGTTATATCTAATGCAATCTCTTACCATGATTCATTAGTTTGTTAGAATTTATTCTTGCTAGTTGAGAGTATTACCTCACTGCCGTATAGTTGACCAAGGTTAACCACAATAAATTAAGTTAACCGAAAAGAATTACGGTTAACTAAGGTTAGCATCAGTCAGAAAAAAACTTTCAACAACAGCCTTGAAATAATTTACCTGTTAAAGTATGGCTTATTAATAATAAAATTTAGTGATATATTAAGTATTTATTTATGTGATATATTAGTAAAGTTGATAAGTATCTACATCTATAAAAAATATCTACTGTAAATGTAACTATGCACATCATATAAATTATGCACACACAAAAAAGAAAAAATTCAGCACCATCTACTGTATTAAAATTTATCAACTAAGGAATACCTATACAAATATTGTTTTAAATCTTTTGCCTATAGCAGACCGAAAACAAAGTAGGCTCAGTGTCAGGCCTGCAAAAAATGGGCTTATGAAGAATGCAACCCAGGCTTGTAATCTTTAAAGAATATTTATTTATGTATAGCAATGACGGATCCATCATTTTTTGGTGTTTGAGATAGCTAACATGGAGCAAACCCCAAACATTTGTATGTTTATACTTATGTCAAGTCATGATGCTTTACAAAAAATTGTTATGATTTACAAAAAATTGTTATGATCCCCCCCCCCATCCCAAAAAAAAAAAAAAAAAAAAAAAACTCGAGGGGCAACAAGTTGATAAAATATTTTTTGTACTATTCTTAACTAAACTTATATTCAACGATAAATTTTAAGTTTCAACAAGTTAGATTATAATTAAATAATATGAAATGATTAAATTGATTGATTAAAAAATTTAACACTAAGTCCGTTGTCAGCCTGAAAGTCTTCAAAAAAATATTTTTTATCAGAACTTCTTGAAATCAACTTAAATGAAAATTTCTTAACTGTTATTAGAAAGGATTAAATTTTTACAAGTTTGGATTTTATTAAAAAAAAAAAACTACGATAGTTAAAAATATTTTAATTTTACATTTATTTGATATTATAGTATTTATTCAAGTTTTGTTGTTTTATTTAATAAAAATAGATAAATAAAATCATAGATATTAATCTATAGTTTTACACAGATCATAGATCATAAAATAAGCTATACTATTTTATAGAATTAGGAAAGTTTGGAAATCGTTTAAATTTTTAACCTTTGTTTTTATATTTTTTATTATTTTTATTTCGTGATTATTGTTTTACTGTGTATTTTATTAACAGCGCAAGAAATCAAAATTTCCAGTATTTCCATATAAATTTGAAAGTATTTCCATATAATTTTGAAAACATTTGTTTTTGTAAAAAGTTATTTGCAAACGTGGAAAGTAACGAGTTACATTCACTCGCGCTACTGTAATGAAGTAGTTCTTTTGTGTGCTTCTGCTTTTTAAAGTGTTTTTATAATTTGTATTTTAAAGTTTTTTTATAATATAATTTTATTTTTATTTTAATATTTTTTGTCTAAAGTAATATATTTTGCTACATTTTAAATCATATACGTTACTGAGTAAAAAAAAAATGCAAAAAAAAAAGGCGGCTCAGGAAACTTCATTATCCGCCGAATGTAGGGCACGGTTCAAGCAGATAATGCTTGAGAAAACAACTTTACAAATATTGCATTATATAAAGTGTTCTTAATAAAGGCTGAACGAACCACGATAAAAAAGCGGTTAAAATAGATTAAGGGAATAATTAAAGAAAAGAAGTTTACAAAGTTTATCATTTTTACCACAAAGACAAGTTAATTGCATAATACAATAAACATATTGTTTCATATACTAGCAACTTTGACATCTAAAAATTTAAAAATTTTTAGATGTCAAAGTTTTTTTTAATAAGTTAAAATTTTTACAAGTGATAATATTAAATTATTAAAAAAAAAACATTTTTAGTTTTTTTTTTAATATATATTTTTTTTCTCTGTAAAATTTCTTGTATAACTATTTCTCCAATGTGATGCGTTTGTTGTTCTCTGCGAAATGACTCATAGTAACTGCTCTTCACAGTGATATTTTTACTGTCCCTGATATCCTTTCTCCATCTATTTTTGTTTTAATGAAACTGTTGCCCCTGGTCTCACTCACCCAAGTTTTTAGAGAAGTTTAATGCCTAATGACAACCAAGTGGTTAGAACTCATATAAGTTCGTTTTTAAAAGCATTCACATCGCCCAAAAACTTAGTCACAGCTTTTAATACTATCGTTGGATTGAAGCTGAAATTAAACATCATTTTACGAATACCAGGCTCAATAAAAATCCCTTCTTTTAATTTACTCCATAATAAATAATAATAAATATTAAAAATAAAATGATAATAAAATATTTAAAACAATCATAATCTGTGGCAAGCAAGCCCCCCTTTCTGTAATGGTGACAGAAGTATCTATTTTAAGTTGACTAAGTAATATAAAAAATGTTCTTCTCGCCAGATGTCAACGTTTTTTACGGGCCATTGATTTTTAGACATCAGTTCTGCATAAATTATATTTGTTTGAATGATTTTTTGCTCACTCTATACCATAGGTACTGAAATAACTAAACTAACAGGCTTTCTTTTTAATATACCATTTCCTAAAATGCTCAAAACAAACATAGCATACTAAGTGAATGTCTTAATTACTGATTTCAACACAATATACTACAAAGGATACTTTTTCAATCAATTATGTTCTTTTGGTGTTTTTTAAATACGATATTATACATACATATTGAAACTTTTTAAAGTAAAACCATGAGAGCAAAACCACGAATTTACTTAGAGTTAAAAGCATATAATTTTAAACGCTGCAATGCGAAGTTATCTCGAAGAAAACTGTTGTGCCATTTATCAGAACTACCGACCTAAAATTGATTTTGTTGACAACCTTATTAAAATTCATTGGTAACCTTTTAACATTACAATTAATTTCTAACCTAATAAGGTTTTAGTAAATTTAAAGTTATTTTTCACATTTAAAAAAAAAAATTTAATGATAAAAAAACGAGACTATTATTATTATTTATGGAATCAGCACAGATAGGAATAAGGTGAAATATTTAAATATTGAAAATATTTTTTGATTGTTGGCCTATGTTTTAACTTTTACCGTCAAAATAATTTGGAATTTTATAAATATTTAATAAATTTTTATAACTTGGCATTGTTTTGTTTTTTATTATTTCCTATTCTCAAAGTTTCGACTTTTGTTGCTCTTGTTTCCTATTTGAAAATTAAAATTTTATTTTACATTTGATAGCTTCGTTTCAAAAAATTTTAAGTACTAAATTAAGTTGGCTTATTTTACATTCGATAGCTTCGTTTCAAAAAACTTTTTAACTAATTAAAATTAAGTTTTTTTTTTTTTAATAATAGCTGTCACTATAAGAATTTTGATTTCATTTATTTTTACTTTTTTTTTTTTAAAGACATGTGACACAGACTGTGTAAATTAAATCAAAAAATCATTGTTCTAAAGGGAAAGTTTTTAAAGACATGTGACACAGACTGTGTAAATTAAATCAAAAAATCATTGTTCTAAAGGGAAAGTTTTAAAGACATGTGACACAGACTGTGTAAATTAAATCAAAAAAACATTGTTCTAAAGGGAAAGTTTTAAAGACATGTGACACAGACTGTGTAAATTAAATCAAAAAATCATTGTTCTAAAGGGAAAGTTTTTAAAGACATGTGACACAGACTGTGTAAATTAAATCAAAAAATCATTGTTCTAAAGGGAAAGTTTTAAAGACAAGTGACACAGACTGTGTAAATTAAATCAAAAAAACATTGTTCTAAAGGGAAAGTTTTAAAGACATGTGACACAGACTGTGTAAATTAAATCAAAAAAACATTGTTCTAAAGGGAAAGTTTTAAAGACATGTGACACAGACTGTGTAAATTAAATCAAAAAAACATTGTTCTAAAGGGAAAGTTTTAAAGACATGTGACACAGACTGTGTAAATTAAATCAAAAAAACATTGTTCTAAAGGGAAAGTTTTAAAGACATGTGACACAGACTGTGTAAATTAAATCAAAAAAACATTGTTCTAAAGGGAAAGTTTTAAAGACATGTGACACAGACTGTGTAAATTAAATCAAAAAAACATTGTTCTAAAGGAAAAGTTTTAAAGACATGTGACACAGACTGTGTAAATTAAATCAAAAAAACATTGTTCTAAAGGGAAAGTTTTAAAGACATGTGACACAGACTGTGTAAATTAAATCAAAAAAACATTGTTCTAAAGAGAAAGTTTTAAAGACATGTGACACAGACTGTGTAAATTAAATCAAAAAAACATTGTTCTAAAGGGAAAGTTTTAAAGACATGTGACACAGACTGTGTAAATTAAATCAAAAAAACATTGTTCTAAAGGGAAAGTTTTAAAGACATGTGACACAGACTGTGTAAATTAAATCAAAAAAACATTGTTCTAAAGGGAAAGTTTTAAAGACATGTGACACAGACTGTGTAAATTAAATCAAAAAAACATTGTTCTAAAGGGAAAGTTTTAAAGACATGTGACACAGACTGTGTAAATTAAATCAAAAAAACATTGTTCTAAAGGGAAAGTTTTAAAGACATGTGACACAGACTGTGTAAATTAAATCAAAAAAACATTGTTCTAAAGGGAAAGTTTTAAAGACATGTGACACAGACTGTGTAAATTAAATCAAAAAAACATTGTTCTAAAGGGAAAGTTTTAAAGACATGTGACACAGACTGTGTAAATTAAATCAAAAAAACATTGTTCTAAAGGGAAAGTTTTAAAGACATGTGACACAGACTGTGTAAATTAAATCAAAAAAACATTGTTCTAAAGGGAAAGTTTTAAAGACATGTGACACAGACTGTGTAAATTAAATCAAAAAAACATTGTTCTAAAGGGAAAGTTTTAAAGACATGTGACACAGACTGTGTAAATTAAATCAAAAAAACATTGTTCTAAAGGAAAAGTTTTAAAGACATGTGACACAGACTGTGTAAATTAAATCAAAAAAACATTGTTCTAAAGGGAAAGTTTTAAAGACATGTGACACAGACTGTGTAAATTAAATCAAAAAAACATTGTTCTAAAGAGAAAGTTTTAAAGACATGTGACACAGACTGTGTAAATTAAATCAAAAAAACATTGTTCTAAAGGGAAAGTTTTAAAGACATGTGACACAGACTGTGTAAATTAAATCAAAAAAACATTGTTCTAAAGGGAAAGTTTTAAAGACATGTGACACAGACTGTGTAAATTAAATCAAAAAAACATTGTTCTAAAGGGAAAGTTTTAAAGACATGTGACACAGACTGTGTAAATTAAATCAAAAAAACATTGTTCTAAAGGGAAAGTTTTAAAGACATGTGACACAGACTGTGTAAATTAAATCAAAAAAACATTGTTCTAAAGGGAAAGTTTTAGGCAACAAACTAGCTCTTTTTAATCAAAAACGTTACCTGCCTATGAAAATAGTCTCATTTTAAATGTTACTTAAATTTTAAAAAACCAAAAAGTATAAGATGTCTAATACAGTAAATATTTCAGTTTTAATGTATTTTTGACGCTCCTTTTTTTTTTTTTTTTTTTGTTTTGAATAAACTTTCCTTTTGTTTTAAAACTACAATTGGAAAATCTGTGATATTGATACATGACGTCTCTGCCATTTACCTTTAACTAGCAAGGGTGGAGGGAATAAGGGAGGGAAGCAAGGAACCCTTCCCCCCTCCACACACACACCCTCCTTCCTCCTTAAATATTTTGAAATTTTTTTTTTGGTAAATTTATATATTTAACAAAGTATCTTGTTTGAAAATGGAAGTAAATATGGAAGGCTGTCTAAAAATGATAAAAATAATAATTTTGTGTGGTGCAAAAAAATCGTACTGTTAGGGATATCAATATGACGTAATTTCATAGTTACATCGATTAAAAAAATGTAAGACTAATTTTCTAAAAAAAACTAACTAAAAAAATTATGATTTAAACCTATAAATTGTCCTCTCTCTCTCTTTCTTCGCCCTCCCCCACCCTTCCCCATACTTTAGAGTCTGATTCCCGATCATCCAGCAAATTAAAAAATCGCTCTCCTGCCCCCACCTTTTCTTTCCTGGATGGTTGGGATCCACCAAATTAAAAAAGCTAAAAATCACCCTGTCCCCCTACCCTAGATAGTCTAGATCGGCCCCTGATAACCAGTAACATAAAATGTTAACAGTTAACATTCACACGTTGGATATTGATCAGTTTTATTATTGTTTTCAGATAGAAGATTCAGGGTTGCACGCAGTTGTTGTCAAACCTGAGTGGATTTGGACTTGTATAAAAAAGAAAAGAATTGCTGACCATGGAAGTTTTTGAATTTATTGAAATTCTTTTTTTAAGCGCTTTACACTGTTTTCATAGATTAATTAATTTTCTCGTCTATTTTGCAATTTTTATAATTTTTTTCTAAATTTTTTTTATTTTGAAACCATTACAAAGATTTTTTTTTTTAGAATTTAAAACATTTAAAACTTGTTATTTATTGATTATAAATTATTTTATATATTATTCATAATCAGAGATTTTCAAAGTGATGCCTTGGTACGATAAAAAAACCACAAATTTTCTTTACCGCAACTGCTGTTAGCACTGACTCATTTTTGTAATATTTATAGACTAATTATATTGACTCTAGCGTATAAAATTTAAATTAAACAATTTGCTTTAAAACTTTAATTCAGATAAAAAATGAAGTTCATTTATTCTCATTTTAATAGAAATATAACGCTGAGTTTTTTTTTTACAAAAAAAAAAAAAACTTCTACTGAAATTATTTATATATTGCCTCACCGTTTGTATTTGTATTGTTTTGAGTTTATTAGTTACGCTTTTCAATGCGATTCTTCGATTTGATAAGGAACCATAACTTGCCCAATACTAAGTACAATTATTTATACTGATCAAGTATTACGTGATATAACTAATATTGCTTCACGAAAGTTCATCGAGCATACGCAAAAGTTAAATAAAAAAGTTTGATTGGTCTAACCGTATCTCAGTATTAATGATACAAGTTTTGATCGCGTGATTAAATTTAGTTCGGTGTTTGAATTTGGATCTACCATGATGATCTGTATTAATCGCTGAAGATCGATGAAACAAATATTGTCTTTTTTGTTTATTTATTTTTGCAATTTTTACTACAAATATTTTGGAGTATAATTTGCGTGGTGAAAATTTTTTATTTTAAAAGTTTAGAAGTTTATTTGAATGTAATCTTTTTTTCTTAAGAAGCGAAAAATGCATTTAATAATAAATGTATGGAGATGCTTTATTGTACTACCTCAATATGATAAAGGTTTTATGTTAACAAAGTTACAACGTGAAAACGAATCCTTGGATCTATATAAATTAGTGTAAAAAGCACAGTAATTTATAAATGGTTTTAAAAGAATGCATCAACAATTTTTTTTGAGAAAATTCAAGAAAATAGTAAGAATTTTTTTTTTTTTTTTTTTTGTAAAATTCGTTGTAGTCTGTTAAATAGCCACAGCTATAAAGTATTATACAGCTCTCAAATTTTCATTTACTGTACGCGTGACATGCAAATTTTATAAATGTTTTCATTTTCGTCCAACACTTATACTTTCCTAAATATTACTCGTTAACTCGTGTTTTGTTAAACGTTAAACGTTTGTTTTGTTATATAAGTCAGTATTGAGAAACTTCATATTCAGATTCGAAAACGATAGCTTTTTAAATTATATTTGGCATTTGTGTTATTATCAGATATAAAAACACAAATACCAATATTTTTTTCAAATATTGTCAGTGGCTAATTAATGCGCGTAAAGTAAATTTGAATTGCTTTATTACAAAAGTTGTTTTTTAATACCAAATATTTATATACTTATATATGCGTACACGTACGAAGAAATATATATATATATATATATATATATATATATATATATATATATATATATATATATATATATATATATATCTTCGTGTGTGTGTGTGTGTGTACGCATATATAATTAAATGAATATTCAATTAAAAAAAAACATAATTGTGTATGTATACGTATAAAAATAATATTTTATTTGAAATATATGAATTTTTTATTATACTATATGTTGTAAACTTGTCGGGTTTCAAAGAATTTGTAAATGTTAAAATGGAATTTATTGCAAATATTTAGAAAATGTCTTATCCATTATCTAATGCACCCATACCATTATCTGATTGTGATTAAAATTTTCAAATATAATGTAAATTTTTATCTATTAAGAATATTATTCTATATTAAAATATTTTACTAAATTTTTACTTCAGCTTCTTTTTAATTCACTTTTTTTTTTTTAATCTCTCTTTCACTCTCATCTATATATGTATATATATGTATGTATGTATATGTATATATATATATATATATATATATATATATATATACATACATACATACATACATACATACATACATACATACATACATACATACATACATACATACATACATACACACACACTCACACACAGACACACATATGCCCCTTAGGGCGTTTATAAAAAAATATTAAACGGGGGTTTATTTTGAATAAATAATCATCATATTTAAATTCACAATCAACATAGAAATTCTTTTATGAATATTTAAAACAATTTACATCTTATAAATATTATTAAGTTGTTTTCAAAAAAGCACAAAGAAGTAGTGATGCAAACATATTTTAAACAAAAGAAACACCTGTTGTCAGTGAAGCAAACATAGTTGAACAAAAGAAGCACCTGTTAAAAATACGTTCACAAACAATAAGAAACACCTGTTAAAAATAAATTTTAAACCAAAAGAAACACCTGTTAAAATAAGTTTTAAACCAAAAGAAACGCCTATTAAAAATAAGTTGTACAGTGTTATTTTGTTTTTTGTTATTAAAAATAAGTTGTACAGTGACTCTTGCAACTTAATATTTAACAGCATTAAAAATTTGCTTATATTTTAAAGTTGAATATCATTCCTTACCAAAAAACTATAACAATAAAAATCATTAGATTTACATTGAAGATTAAAAACATATTTATTTTATGGAAGCCTGTCAACAATCAGCATGTTAAGCCACATTTCCCATCCACTGATACCGGTTTTGGCATTTAATCTGGTGGTTTTTTGCACTAATCTGTTGTTTTTTTTTCATTTAATCTGGCGATTTTTTGCATTCAACCTGGCGGTTTTAAAATTTATATCAGTTTTATAATGCATGTTATGAATTTTATAATGCATGTTATTCCTTCCCCAAAATACTTTTAAGTGTATTTAAGAATCCTTTAAAGATATCTGCTGTCAACCCTGCGCCAATTATTGCTTTACTCTGGACTATGTTTAAACAATTTAATGCTAATATCATGTTTATGTTACGGCCTCTTCATTACAATACACGTTCATTTGGGGTCGTTCCTTGGAGACTGTATCCGTGGTTTCTTATCATATAAAGATTGAACGGACTTTCATCAATATAAATTATATTTCTGCAACCTTGTTGCAATGTCAATTTTAAATACCATGAAACATATGTTTTTCTTTCTTTATTTACCTCTGCCGTATTACGTCTTTTACCAATGGGTCTTAAAATTTTATATGTATAATTCAATTTTTTAAACCATCACCATAATGTAGAAACATTGACATCAATTCGCAATAATACCTTAATCTCTTATAAATTACAGTTTCTATTATCTCTAATTAACTCATGTAGCTTATTTCATATTTCCTCAGTAAAACGAGACTGTCGAAGATCATCTCACACAGGAATAATATTACCTGTTGATTTATATCAATGGACCAAGCGTCGTATTAAAGTCTCACTTCTATACACGAGTTCTGATACTTCTTTTACACTTTTCCTTTCGTTAATTAAAAGATCAATGATCAAATTTCTTACTTGAATATTAATTTGATAGTCTTCGTTATTAGTTTCATTGTCTTCGTTATTTATTTTAAGAAATTAAATAGAAAATGGGCTTAAACTGTATATTTAATTAAATATATAAACATATTAAAATTAAATATATATAACTATATAAATATTTAAAATATATAAATTAAATTAAATTTATAAGGAAGTTAAATTAAATGAAGCAATAAAAGCAAAACTATTTAACATGATAAAAAAAACCCGGCAGATTGGATGCAAAAACCGCCAGATTAAATGCAAAAGACCGCCATAAAATGCAAAAGACCGCCATATTAAATGCAAAAAACCGCCAGATTAAATACATAAAACCGCCAAATTAGATGAAAAAAACTACCAGATTCATGCAAAACTTCACCAAATTAAATGCAAAAACCGGTATATGAAAGTAAAAATTTCTATATTTCTTTAACGCGAAATGTTTGTTTCCAAGCACCTGCATAAAATAGTAAAAAATTTCAAGCAGGCAGTTTTTTTGTTAAAAAATACAGAGCCTGAATTACAATACAATTACAAATTTAGTTTTAAAAAAATCAAAGTTTCATGGTCTGACCAAATTCTTGCAATTCTGCCATATTTAATATAACTTTTTTGATAACATCACATTGATGCGTCTAGTATAATTTGAATACCTACATGCATACATTTATAATATATATACACTCACATATAGAAATAATAATGGTAATAATACAAGTCAGGGCCGATGACACGGGTTTCGAAGTAGGGAAGAGGGGAGGGGCAAAATCGTCAATTTCTAAAAAAAGTACTACATATCTAGAAATTTCTTTAATATTCGCTCCCACTCACTATTCAACAAGATAAGGTTTTCAAAAATTTATTCAAAGCAACTAACACAACAGTGGTTTTCATAGTTCACTTGAGTAAGAATAAATAAAATTTCCTACCTTTCTTACTTTATCTTTATTGTTTGTGTGTGTTTAAATCGAATTTAAAAACGTGCAGTATTCAGAAATACTGTGAACTGTATTAATATGTCTACCTTGGTATTTAGAAATACTGTGAACTGTATTAATGTCTACATTGGTATTTAGAAACACTGTGTACTGTATTAATATGTCTACCTTGGTATTTAGAAATACTGTGTACTGCATTAATATGTCTACCTTGGTATTTAGAAATACTGTGTACTGTATTAATATGTCTACCTTGGTATTATATAAGAGTAACTTTCATATTTCATATATGTGTCACTTTTTTGTGTGTTTTTTTAATGCAAATAAATTAAATTAATAATAATAATAAAAATGCTTAAAAGGTATTTTAAAAAACTTACATTTTTGTCTGCATTGTTTAATTTAACTTATAATAACTTTTTCTCCATATAGTTTTAAACCAGTATTAAAATCTTCTTATTGTAAAAAGTGATTTAATTTAATCATAT